GCAGTTGAAGCTAAACAAGAAGGAACTATACAATAACCTTTCAATGTCACTGCTTGCTCCAAGTTCTCTTTAATCACATGGCTGCAGAGCAGAAGATGAAGGCCTGGTGTTTGCAGGTCACATTGCCACTCTCTTCCATTGCATCTTCTTTGCTAAGCTAGCTCAGGGGCTTAGTGGAAAAATATTTCACTGCCAGCAACCAGCAAAATTGGATGCAAGAAGAAGTTTGTGAAGTCACCCAGGAAAAAATCTCTCACACAGCCCGACTGGGAATGTGTGGGAGACTTTTTCACCCATTAATTCTGACAAAGCAGTATAGCAGTTGTGTCTAGCTTCACTGAGCTATTTAAATGTTCAGCTATTTACTTAATTATGCTTTAATTAATAGCATCACTAACACATCTTTAAACCTCCCCCCCCCACTCTCAGTGTTTTAAGAACTAGACCAGATGGATACATTGTGTTCCATATTTCATCCCATTTACAAATTTACTGAACCTCAAAATCCAGTATTGATCTTAGGTTTACTTTGATCAATACTAATTTGTGTGATAAATTAGTCTTTACATTGACCTCAGCAAAAGTCACTGCATACATATGAGTAAAACACCACAAAGTATATTTAATTAGAGTCAACTAAATGTTTGGGGTTTTCCTCCAAACAATTACATGTAAAATGGCCATTCATTATCACTAAAGCTAACACGTAAATCTAATCTCAATAATAGCACAATCTCTATAATGACACACACACCCCATTAATATGACCTGCATCTCTATTATTTTAAGACATATATGTTTTCTGCCACATATCTAGTTGGTTGGAGAAACAGCACGTTATATTTTGATCAAGCTATTAAGGTCCAATATTGTCCCCTTTGATGTCATTTTTTTTAAAATGTCATTTTTCTTAGCAGAGGAACAATTTAAAGATTAGAAATTGGGATGATTCAAATCTGCAAAGCCCAATATATTTCCTAAAGGAGCCATCTCATGGACATGCCTGCCATACAGTATGTCTTTTAAGGATGCACACATGACATCAGGTAGAGAAGCCTGAAAGTCATTTTAGGTCTTGAAACTACAGTATTGCAAAGTATGTTTGGAAGTGCCATTGTGCTCTGCTTTCTGCTGTTTTCCATCAGCTATTTTTGCTGAAAATGCCATCTGCATCCTGCCCAGTCCCCCTGAGAATAGTTATCAAGAACGTGTGCTCAGCTTTCAAAATGGCTACTGGAATAGGGTTGTTTATCAGTTTCAGCCATTACACAAACTGTACATGTGTACTCAGGCATCAAAAAATCCAACACTCAACCACGTTCTGGTTTTATTCCCAGCGTAGATGTGCTCCTAGAACATTCTTCATCTATGACCCCTTGAACTCTCTGCCATCTTCACATGGATTGAACAGAATTACGACCAGCAAGCCTCCTCGGTTGATAACGTGTTTCACACAACACATGTCCTAGAGGTTTCATGAATTAGGATCTTCAGACACAGGCAACAGTGGCTCTTGGCAGATTTACCCAGTTAATGTACACTCACACAGGTGTTAAGAGACAGAGGAAAGAATACACTCCACCAAGTGGTGATAACAGAAAGTGCAGAGAAAGCATCGTGCCCGATGGACAGAATTGCACTCTGGGTCTTATTGTAACTGAAACTGATGGAATAAGTTAATAAACAGATGTAGTGGAACTGGGGTGCATTGAAATTCTGGCGCCAGGTGGGGAAAACAGTGAAGACAGTAAGCAGGCTTTAAAAAAGATATCTTAGATTTCTGCTTCAGCTAGCAAAGATCGGGGTGGGGTGGGGATATGAAAAATAGGTGCTGCAGGAAAGAGGCTGCAAGTAGAGAGGAGTGTTTCTGGGACTAAGGTGAACCTGTGACACTCTCTTGTCATTTCTGCTACTGAATATTACATTACTGTACTATGGGTAATTATGAGCCAGGGTCAAACCATTTCCAGCCTGATATGGGGACAACATCCAAGGACCTGATTCTGTATTTTCAGCCAATAGCCCTCTTCTTCTTTTTCTTCTCCTTCTCCTTCTCCTTCTTCTTCCCCCTACAGTGGAGGACTTTGAAGTGAGCATGCGTAGACTGGGCAAAACAGCTGGAGTCCTATACAGTCATACCTCATGTTGTGTCTGTTTCAGGTTACGTCTTTTCAAGTTGCGTCCCACGGCAACCCGGAAGTACCAGAATGGGTTACTTCCAGGTTCGCTGCTCGCACATGTGCAAAAGCACTAAATCGTGTTCGTGCGCAGACACGGTGCTTCTGGATGTGAACACTTCGAGTTGCGGGCTTGCCTCCGGGACGGATTACATCCGCAACTCGAGGTACCACTGTATATATTTTACCTGTGAGTAAACACCACAAACATAGGGATTTATGCTAGACATCAGATTGCCAGAGACCTTTTTTTACCCCTAGGAGCTCAAAAGAATCCCTTGTTTTCTTGGCCTACTCAAATTTACTACTGTTGCCTGGCTTGAAAATATCATACCAGTGCCTACTTTCATTAAGCAATTACAACAAATTGTGAAAAATAATCTGAACATCATTAAGACATGAATACTTTATTGAATAAAAGAAGAAAGAGAAACTATCACATCTTCTTGAAGTGATGAAATCTCATTCTGTGTATTTCGAAGCAGTAGAGAGTCAGGAAAAAATGTGATTATGGCCTCTATTAAATTATCACCTGCAGCATAATCCATAAGAACCAATTATTTCTTTCATGGCAATTATGCTCCTCTGAATTAGACACCAATAAAACTCATTCAGTCATCCAAACATATAAGCAAACAATATCCACCAAAAGCTAAGTGCATTACACACCCATTCCAGTTATGCAGAGGAATACATTTGATTAGGAGACGCTCAGAAACCTATTATTCAATAGAGCAAATAAAGGAACCAAGGAGGAAAAAAAAACTCTTTTCAAGACAGTGTGTCTAAAAGATTAAACATGGTTGCTGAGACATTGGATCATTAACCTTTAAGATTTGTCCTGGGCAACCTAGTAAGGTAAGAACTCATGACGACAAAAACAAAAACAAAAAAAAACCAGCTTATGGTCAATTGCATTAAATGCTACTGACAGCAGAAGTAATGTAACACCTTGTATGACTAAGCACAGATTTTCAGGACCCTCCTTGTCTTCTGCTGACAAATGAACCATAAGGAGAGAGCAGGTGGACTGACAAGAGATGCTTATACATACAGCATTCGCTGCAAGATGACTCATGCAGGCAAATCAAGCATTAATTTCAGGCTGACACACATTCTCAGAAAGAATAAGTACACACATTTGAAAAAGTTTTAAATGATATTAAGAATCACTTATGACATACTTCTGTTTTGTTTTGTTTTTACACATACAAACCTGCCCATCTATATTTTGGAAAGGTCACCACGCTTCAACTAATATTTTTAAGTTGACAATTATAAGAACACTAAAAAGCATTCATGGTGATGGTAATGCACATTCCAGCACTTCAACAGAGCTGTCATATTTATTCTTCCTGGCAGAGCCCAAAGGCAGAAGTTCAACAGACAATGGTTCCTCCTCACTGCATCTATGAAAAAAAGTTTGCAGCTAGTGTGTATCTGTCTGCCAAGCAACAATCCAAGTTAAGAGGCAACTGCCAGGAAAAGGGGACAAATTTCTTGTCCCTAATCGCTACATTTTAGCTTCTGTGCTACAGTTTCTCATTAGCACCTATCATTAAGCTTCAAAAAAAGGCTAGAAAGGAGAATACAATTGTGAATGAAAAGGATGGTGTACACCAAGTATACACCAAGGACATAAGCTTTAAAAAAAATCAAAAGAAGAACTTTACAAATGGAATTCACAGTAATGAAAATCCCATCTCAAAGCAAGAGATGGGATATCTGCCTTCTTCCTCTACAATTAATTTACTGTACATAATCTGGCCTCCTATTCCAGGATTGGTCAAATTGTGTCTCAAGAGCCACATGTGTTCAGGTATGGCTCCTGAGCCAATGAAGGTGTTCACTCCAGCTGCAGGCACTGCCTCAGGCAAAGAGAAGCATCTGGTATGCAGGAAAGCTCAAGTAACTGAAGAGACAAGGGCTGTGCACATAGTATAGCTTTAAAGCACATTCAAATTACATTATTTCCCTCAAAGAATTCTGGGTACTGTAGTCCTCACAGAGCTTCAGCTCCCAGCAACCCTTTAATGAACTACAGTGCCCAGAATTCTCTAAGGGAATGTGCTTTAAAGGTATAGTCTATATGTAGGAGAGAGAAGAGGGAAAGAGCTGCTGAAGGAACATGAAGCAGGGAGGGGAGAGAAGTCACTGTCTTAAGAGGTGTGGATTAATGGCGTGGAAAGGAAGAGAGTTACTGGCTGCTAAATAGTGTGGATTGCAAGCAGAGGAGAAAGCAAGAGCATCACCTCGATCAAAAAGAACAAACAAGCCTAGGGAGGAGAGAAAAGGAAAGGAGGAGGCTACATCAAGGCTGAAATAGAGCAAAAGGTGTTGCCCACTTTGGGGTATCCATAACCACCTTGCAGGAGTTATGGGGTGTGAGAAATTTAGTGGAGACTGATCCATTTAGGCAAATGCAGCGCTGCTCTACCAACCCCAGCTTTTTCCCTGGCCTCACCAATGCCCTAGCAGAACACAGCAGGAGAGACACTAGAATTTTAAAATGGCAGCCACTCCTTTCACCTGTGGCAGCCTTCCCTCCCCGGTTTCACCTGGGTCTCCCACTTGGATCATAATTAAGAAAAAGAAAAAGCTCACTTTGTTCAAATCCCACAACAGCTGCCGCCAGTTTATATTACTATTACATTATTGCATGGTATTATTACTTGTCCACAAAGGTTATATGGAGCCTCTCCAAAGGAATGTGTTTGAAAGCGTGTGTGAAAGGTCATGTGGGTATCCAAGCACAGGCAGATCTACTAATTCATGTGTATGTTTTTGTGTACGTGAGGCAAATCACACACACACACAAAAGGACCATAGCTTGGTGGGTAGAGCATGAGACCCTCAAATTTCAAGGTTGTGGGTTCAAGCCCCACTATGCTGGCATAAAGATTCCTGCATTGGTCAAGATGCCAACTCTACTCTCCCGTGATGGCTCTCATTGAATATATGGGAATTATTGTACACAGCTGAAAGCTCTGGCAGCATTAAGATAAATTCAACAGTGTAAACAAGTTTTGATAGACGCTATAATGGAATCTCCTGCCAACCTAGCAGTTCGAAAGTACGTCAAGTGCAAGTAGATAAATAGGTACCGCTCCGGTGGGAAGGTAAACGGCGTTTCCGTGCGTTACTCTGGTTCGCCAGAAGTGGCTTAGTCATGCTGGCCACATGACACAGAAGCTGTCTGCGGACAAACGCCGGCTCCCTCGGCCAATAAAGCGAGATGAACACGCAACCCCAGAGTTGTTCGCGACTGGACCTAATGGTCAGGGGTACCTTTACCTTTATAATGGAATACTGAATGGTATAGTTTTTGTAAAATATGCAGGATTTTGTAAAATGAACCATGGAAAGAGAAGAATGGAAGCAGTGGCGTAGCGTGGGGGCTGCAGGGGGGGCCGGCCGCACCGGGCGCAACATCTGGGGGGGGCGCGCTCGCACTCGCAGCTCTCTGCCCCTACCTGGCTCACTCACTCTCTCTCACTGCAGTGCTGGCTGTGCGAATCCTATCCGAGCCGCTGGGTCGTCGCCCACTGTGGAGGGGGTGGGTGCCAGGCGTGCGGTGCGGAGAGAGAGCGAGGGACTATCTGGGGGAGGGACAGTGCAGCGGCCGCCCAGCGCAGTGCTGAGCGCGGGAGAGAACCAGACCAGGCAGCAGCAAGAAGAAGCTGGCAGCGGCGGCAGGTTAGGGGTTAGGGGGCGCAAATTACTTGCCTTGCCCCGGGTGCTGACAACCCACGCTACGCCGCTGAATGGAAGTTATTCATATCTTAAGGATGTAAAAGGAGTATTTTAAATTGTGAAACAATCTAATAAAAATTCTATACCCATGGGACAGGCCCAGGGTCGCAAGGCAAGCCCCGCCCCCGCCCTGGCGAGCAGCTGCAATCAAGGCCGCCTCCCTCGCGCCCGCGCACGGCTGCCACTCACCGCCTCTCGGCAGCCTGCCTAGCGCTTGGCTGCCGCCGCCTCCTCAGCTGCGGGGGCTCGTGGCTCCCTTGCCCCTCGCCCTCCGGCTCCCTCAGCCGCCAGCCTGGCTCCGCTTCGCCCGCCGCTCCCGCTCGCCCTTCTTCCTCCGCTGCGGAGCCGCGCGCTGCTCTCGCGCTCTCGTCCTCTTTTCGCAGCCGCAATGCAGCAGCTCCATTCCCCGCCAGGTCCTGGGCGCCGGGCGGCTCGCGGGGCGACGCTGCCTGCCTGCCTTCCTCGGCGCCTCAGCCGACACTAGCGCAGGTGGGCGCCGTCGGAGGTGGGCACAGCCGCGCCCTTGACCGACGTGGGCGCTGGAGAAGAAGAGACGCCGCTTTCCTTTTCTGCGCCTCGCGAGAGGGAGGCTGGGGCTGGGGGCTTAAATGCCTCTGAGGAGCTGCAGGTGGGCGCGTAGCATAGCGCCCCCTGCCGGCAGAACATTCTCTGCTCCGGGGGTAGTTTCTCCGGGCGCTGCCCGGGCGCCCGGCGCCTGCGCAAACGACCTCAGGACCAGGAATGAGCGCGCTGCGCTGCGTGGGACTGGCTGGAATTCCCAGGCTAGGAATCTAAGTGGATTTGGGGGGACGCCAAGGCAAGCCTGAATTCCAGGAAGTGAGGCTCCACTTCCCGTCAGGAACTCATCTCGTTGCCTCCCAGGGCTTAATTTCTCACCAGCAACAAAGGCTGCTTGGCCTGGGATAGGCAAGCTTTCTGGTAATGCTACAAACCACCCACACCCCCTAATCCTAGATGTGACTAGATGTGTGATGCAGTTTTTAAGCATGAGACTGTTATGCACATGTTAAGTGAGCTCTGGGCGGCTCAGTCAGGAGAGCCTGAGACTCTTAAACTCAGGGTTGCTGGTTTGAGCCCCGTGCGGGGCAAAAGATTTCTGCCTTGCAGGGGGTCAGACTAGATGACCCTCGTGGTCCCTTCCAATTTGATGATTCTTCAGAAGCTCAGAGGCCATGCCTTGGCATTAAAGCCAGGTTCTGAGCACAGGCAAAAGGTCTGTCTTCAAACACTTTGTCAATGAAGCTTCCTCAGCCATCCCACCAAATGATGTGGTCTTCTCAAGCTAGAGAGAACTGACAGTGCCCTCTGTCACCCTTCACTGATGTCAATAAATGAAATACCAAGTTCTTTCCTGCTAAGATGATTGTCTTGGCCTGCCCACATCCATGTTGTCCCAGGAACCCTTGCTGATAGAATACCTCCCCCCCCCACACACACACCAAAGCTATTAAAATTACTCTTTGGCCCCTAAAGTCTTCTCTCCTCGGGTAGAGCTGAAAACTCGGCATTTGTCGTCCCACCACCACACCTCCCATTTGTAAGGAATTACAGTGGTACCTCGGATTACATACACTTCAGGTTACATACGCTTCAGGTTACAGACTCCGCTAACCCAGAAATAGTACCTCGGGTTAAGAACTTTGCTTCAGGATAAGAACAGAAATTGGGCTCCGGCGGCGCGGCAGCAGCAGGAGGCCCCATTAGCTAAAATGGTGCTTCAGGTTAAGAACAGTTTCAGGTTAAGAACGGACCTCCGGAACAAATTAAGTACTTAACCCGAGGTACCACTGTACAGGTAATATATCTGTTCAGCTTTCCTAGAAAACAGGTTGACTTGTGTTACTGAGAAATAAGAGGGAAGTGGCAGCATTCTCAGAGGAAGCCCAAGGTTTGCTGTAGAAAAATAATTTAGGGGATTATGGTGGGGTGAACCCAACCAAAACAGCCTAACAAGGACTGAGCATGCTCAATGGCCACAGAATGCTGGGAGTCTATAGAGAGACAAAACAGTATCCTGAAATAGGGCACGGGCACTCCAAACTGCAAGAATTGGTTTCAGCTTCCATTTCTGTATATGTAAATGCCATCATCCTGATTCCTAATCTTGTTTTGTTCACCACTTTTGTAACCCAAGGCTTTCCAGAAGCCTTTTAAATATTTAACATTTCACCGCTGCCAATTTTTGTACTATGTTTCAAATTGCTGTTTTCCCCCTGTTTGTTTATGGTAGTGTTTTTTAGATGTGTGTTTCTGTTTATACCTTTCTTGCATTGCGAAGCTGCTCTGAGTACCCCATGGGTAGAAGAACAGAGTATAATTAAATCACCACCATACATTCGTGTTTCTCTATACGTAAGCTGGTTTGTTTATTGAAAGTTTGATTATCCTTAAAAAGAAATTAGGTTAGTTGTTTACAAAAAGCGTTATAAATAGGAGGACAAAGTTAATGTAAACAAGTCTGTTTTTTAAAAAATGTATCAGAGTAACAGACTATGTCATTGACACACATTTTGTTTTATTGAAGTAGAAGAGATAAAACACTGGGTTGCTGGGAGAGCTACCAACATTAGCAAGGTTTTTTTTTGGTTTTTTGTTCGTAACAAACATCAATTGAGTTTTCCTCAGATTGATGTTTGCCCTGATTCAGCAGTAAACAGCAGGTTTTCCAACGGAAAGTAGCAAGACAACAATCCCCGCTTGGACCTATGCCTACAAATCACAGTACAAATGGAAGTCTGGGTGATTCTAACTCCAGTTACCTGTGAGTAGGCCCTGTTGAACTTAATGTGACTTACTTTTGAGGAGACATGGTTAGGTTTGTGCTGTGAGTCATTAGCAGAGAAACGCTATGCACAAATTGAACTCTAGTGGGCCTTCCACTCAGCCTTTCTCAACCTGTGGGTCCCCAGATGATGTTGAACTACAACTCCCATCATACCTAGCTAGCAAGGCCAGAGCTCAGGGATGATGGGAGTTGTAGTCCAACAACATCTGGGGACCCACAGGTTGAGAACCACTGCGAGATCCTAGGTCCATAGTGGGGAACTTTTTGCAGCTTCTTTTTATTTAATTTGCTTTGAACCAAAAGAGCAACAAACAAAAAGTACAACCAGAAGTTCTAGCAGACTATTTCCAAGCCCTGCTGCCATTATATTTACCAAATTTCAACAGGGGCAATAAGCTTAGCAGAACTAGATATTCTGGTAACCGACATCCTTGAGCGTGAGGAGGGCATTGTCAGTTATATAAACCTTGAGAAACCACAGCAGCAGGTAGGATGGCTGAGGAAGAGGGTCACTTGGAAGTCCTTAGTCACAATCTTAAATATACAGGGTGATATTCAACTAAATTTACTCAAGAGTAGATTAGCTGTAATTAATAGACCTAACTTAGTCACATTCATTAGTGTCCATGGGTCTACTCTGAGTAAGATTTCATTGAGTACCACCCACGGTCTTAAAAAGTTTTTAAAAACCTTTTCACCTTGAAACTTGGTTCTCTATAGAGAGTCTGCCTTATTTAAAATGAAACAAAGAACACAAATACACCATAATTCCCATTTCCCAGAACAATGCATAGGGTATACAACTGTAGGCTTTAAAAAGCTACCACTTAGAAAGAAATTGTCACAGGCATGGCTTGGTAAAATTGAATACTTTACTCCCATACATTTATAATAAGCTCCCATTTCTTAATTATAGATAATAACTCCATCGATGATTTTCTTTTCATAACCTATTTTAATTCAGCAGGATTAAGACATCCAAATGCCTTTTAATAAAGCCCTTTTTTGACTAGAATTTTCTGATGGCAGAATATTAATTTTAGATCAAATCTCATTTGAGGTCTTGTTTACACTACAAATTGGAAGAAGGTTCACAAACCAGAGGTCCATCTATGTAAGACTGTGATGCTGTTGATAAATGACTCTAACTGAGAAGAAGGTGTTGAAGCACTCTGGGAAGGATTAAACACTCATTTTAACTATCAAGTCCACTGTATGGGTTGTCAAAAGGTAAAGGTACCCCTGACCATTAGGTCCAGTCATGGCCGACTCTGGGGTTGCAGCACTCATCTTGCTTTATTGGCCGAGGGAGCCGTGTACAGCTTCCGGGTCATGTGGCCAGCATGACTAAGCCACTTCTGGCGAACCAGAGCAGCGCACGGAAACACTGTTTACCCTCCCGCCAGAGCGGTACCTATTTATCTGCTTGCACTTTGACTTGCTTTTGAACTGCTAGGTGGGCAGGAGCTGGGACCGAACAACAGGAGCTCACCCCGTCACAGGGATTCGAGCTGCCAACCTTCTGATCGGCAAGCCCTAGGCTCTGTGGTTTAGACCACAGTGCCATCCGTGTTCCTCTTGTGTCAAAAAGTACACAACCAAATTAAACAATTTCCACATAAATAATAATAAGATCTAAAATAAAAATACAAAAAATATTAATCCCATCAACATCCCCAACAAAAACCACCTAAAACTTAGTCTACCCTAAGAGTTCCTATCACTTTTATAGTAACTGTTTCTTCCAAAGAATTCTGAAAATTGTAATTTGGTGAAATGCTAAAGATCCTGGACCTCCCTAATAAAAAAGGTAAGAGCTATGTTTAGCAGAATTATGGTATACTAACCGAACAATTTTGTGCATGTTTACTCAGTGTTCCAGCTGTGTTCACTAGCAAACTTCCTAGTAACATTGTTTACTTGGTTATCTGCTTGCAAAGAAACAATTGGGAAACTCCTGACTCTTCTATTGTAACCATGTATTTACAGATGTCACACGAAACGTCAGGCATAGGGCAGATAGGTGGGTGTGGTTTGGGGAAAATGGACTTGCGGGTCAAATTAGGAACCAGAGACAGACCTAATTAGGGCCCTGTCCCTACAGTAAAGAATTGCGGACAGTTGCCTTTGAAAAAGTTTCAGTGTTTCTTTATACCTGACAAAGAACAACTAGAAATACAGTTTTATACATTTTGCTCATCATATACGCATCAGTTTTGTAACTGTAGAGCTTGAATACCTTGGAAGTCTTTCTTTAAAGCAGCATCAAAACATCAAAACTCTGTTCAGTTATCCTTTCTCAAAGCACTGTGTTGTTTTCACTTGAATTAACAATTTTTGGTAACTAGATCCCTTATCTCATTATTATGGATTTACATTCTACCTAAAACTATAAGCATGAAACATCTGCTTCATCGATGTGTACGTGTATTTGTGTGTACAAACCTACAGACAGAAACGTGTGGAGTACCACTGCATTGAAACAGGTAAGAACACAGATGCTTTGTTAATTAGTAAGACTGTTTCCCACATCTTCAGGCAATAATTATGGCTTTCTTGCTTTATGAATATCATGCATTCTCATTCTAGATCGATTCTAATCTTGTTTTCCCTAAAGCAGATGGTGAAATAAGTCTATTTTCTATGGCACTACTGAGACTGCTTTAGTGAATGTGCCTTTCTCATATTACTAGATCTGCATTGCAACAGGGAATATAGTTCTCAATCCTAACAAAGAAATGGGGCCTATCTTTCCTTTTACGGGATGAATGGAGGTGTATAATCTTCTAGAAAAATCCACGCATTTGCTAGCATATGAGCTAGCGTGCGTTTGTTCACTTTCCTCTCCTGAAATGCTTTGCTTGCAGGAATAGAAGGGGTTGTTGTTGTTTTGAAACTATGAGACTGGTAAGATAACAAGTTGTCTTTGTACGTTCTGTAATCTTTTGTGCAAGGGAAAGCACAGAGAATTTCTCTTCCCTCTAGGACAGAGTGGCTAACCGTTATTTGACCCTTCAAGGTCCACGTGCCAGTGGCTGTGGCAACTGAACATGCATGCATGTACAGACCACACATGTACCATACATGCTCATGTAATGAGGGGCACGGGCGGTGGGAAGGAAAGATAGAAAAAAAGTTTATTTCAAGCTTAAGCGAGAAAGGGGCACAGTTAGCACTCCAAGATTCTGCACACCATGCAAAGGCATGGAGGTCATTTTGATCTACAAAGTTTCATGTGAACACTACATGTTGCGAATATGCATCAGCTACCTGAGGCATGATCAGCACATATGCACATTTCCA